GTGACTACTGTTTTGCGCAACATTCCTTAATCTGTAAGTCGAAAATGTGTAATGAAATGGGAAGCATTTTCAAAGGCGTCTTTCTTGGAATATCAGTTTTACAAGCCTTTTTGGGTCACCTCTTCAGACCAACGGCTCTATGAACAACAGACAGATGTGTTTAGTGAGCTTACAGCTTGGAAAGTAACGCACAGAAGGTGTATGAGTTTACAAATGCAGATAGCTACAAAATCAACGAATGTAATAGTCGTTGTTTTGCTCAGGGGTTTCTATCTTGAGTTATTAAAATGTAAAAAAGTTAATCATTTATGACTGAACTTTAAATTCGCGAGTGCCCATGATGCTACAAAAAGTCAGCCACTGTGTAGCTCATGGCATATGATCTATGTCAACAGAACACTTGGCGTAACCACTATTTTTCATGAATTGTTGTGTTAACTTTGCACTCGAATAGCATGTGAGGCTTTCGGCTAAAAATGAAAAGAATGACCAACATTGTAAACAATGCAGTCTCCAGTTGGTCGAAATCGAGTGTGAATGTGACAGGAAATGACAAATCACTAACCTTTAAGAATCGAGTGGTAGTCTACGGTAAATTAATCACTATAGTATTAAGCGGATGCTCCTGCAGAGATTCCCCAACGTTTCGTTTTCAGCTCGTTTCAAGTTAAGTTCTTGGAAGTAAAATATTCAAAAACAAATAAAGCTGACTTTAAGGGCCAGCGTTCTAGGTATTCCCGTTTGTTGCAAATGAAATTCTTTTGCGTTTTACTTTTTAACCCATCGCATTTGGGGTACTCCTGACACTTGTTCTGGTGTATAATTTTGTTGCCATTCAATTTCTCCTCTTTAACGTTTGCTTTCCCGTTGTCCTTTCCCAACAAACGTTTGCACTTTGTCTTCTAAAGCATGTGACGTTCCCAAGATGATGTGAAAGCTGTGGGGAATAGCCGTATTATTCATCGCTGTATGACGGATTACTGCTATTAACTGTGTGCCATTTGCTTTAAACATTATCGTGGAATCCATCTATGTCATCTTTAACTTTGGCCAGTTAATTAAGTTTGTCACTTTCAACTCGAAAAGATGGAAAAACATCACTCATTTTCTTTAGCAGGAATTTGTGTTCCTCAATTGAAAGTAAACTTGTACATCCTGGAGCGTGGTGATGAGACAAATTTGGCCTTATCCACATTGATAGGTGTCAAAGCGAGTCTAATTGAGTACAGACATGGACAACTAAGATTTTTTTGTTGAAATCCAGTTTGCCCAGATAGTTTTATTCTTCAATGCCAGTTTTTCTTTCTCTCTTCAGTAGAATTTGGAACTTAATTTATGTTCATTTGTGGATGAAAGTGGAAATTGGTGAAAGTTTCAAAGCGTTCTTTTTCTGAATAAAACCTTGAGAAAAATATAAAATCAATAAAAAATCAATGAATTAACCCGTTTTAACCCATTTTATTTCACACAAACGTTCTCTCATCTGTTTAATACAACACTTGAAGAATGAAACGTTGACTCCAACAAATTAAAGGTTTGGTCAGTGACCACTCTGGGAAAGTGTTGAATCCATCCAGCATTTAATTTAATGCCGAATCCAACATGTTTCAAATTCCACTATCAACACACATACTTTTAAGTTATTAACTTAAATGTTTATTCAACCTTTTCCATTGTGTTGACTTTGAATATGTTGAATCAACATTGCAAATGTTGAATCAACTGCATAAGTGTGGATTTCACATTCAGCAATTTCGAAGAGCGGCCACTTTAATACCGAACCTTCGTAAGTGTTGGATTCAACACGTCATGCATGACGCGTCAGTTTTAATTATTTTCAAAACTTGTCATTTCCATTCGTGCACACTCTGTTGTGACCAAATGTACCTATTTGTTTTCGAACTACATAAAAGTAGTCAAAGTATTGTCATTTCTATTCGTGCAAGCATAATTTGTCTGTGACATTTCCAGCACCGACCGAAGGAAGAATCTCCTGATAGGCCTAGTTGTCTTAGCAGCATTTATGTCATCCCGTGGAATTATGTATAGTTCAACTAATTGAGCAAATTAGGTGCACTTTTTATATTCGCATTATGAGATGAAGTGTCTTTGAAAGTTCTTTTTGGATTGGTTCGAAATGCACCGCTCAAAAATGATACACACAATGAATAAAATAGTGTCTCAGATCCATTTTCAGTGCTTAATCTCTTAATGTTACCCTTAAAATTATATCTTGTGAACGCAGTTATCTTTTTAATCTGTTAATGTTGTTTGGGACCGAATGTCGGCTACCCATGTCTTTCTTGTGAACAGATGTTGTCGAGATTTTCCATTCCGTAGGGACATGCACTTAGCATTACTATCTCTATCTCTGCTAAGCTAAGCTCTGAATGACCCTCCCCTAACGTCCTTGTAAACAGCCACTGGAATGGATGCACAAAGATTAACATCAGTATAGCAGCTGCAATCATCCTCGTCAAGACGATCTATACTTTGCATCAACGTTGACTCGTCTCTTCGTAAAGGTACATTAGCAATAGAGAGATATGTAGCTCCAGGATAACTATCTTTATTGCTCCATTTGTAATCAGTGAGAAGTCGTTTGGTTGAAAATTGGGATATCAAGGTAAGTACAAGGACTCGTGTGCAGATTTAATACCCCCGGTGTTATCAGAGGACTACAATAACATTTTTCACTGGTGGTAAACATTTTGGTGTTACTTTTAACATCCTCCATTGCATTATAACTCTTGCAGGTGAAAGTGCAAAGTAACACCAGCGGTGTTAAAGTAACACCCTGTGTGGTCATCTGATAACACCAAAAGTGTCGATTTTAACACCAGAGTTTTTGCAGTGTAAAGCGCTGATGGTGTATGACTATATGTTATTCAAATGGTCTGATACGAACAAGGAGTGGGGACTTTGGGGGGAGGGTTAAATTTCAAACAGAAATAAATGTCCAGAATGAACTTTGAATAAAAGTGCGAATGGAGTACAAGAGAAAAAAGTAAACGTTTGTCGTTAGAGCTGCCGACTTAGTTGGAAGAACGCCAATAAAACGATGACAATTTTTGTTTATCTAACATAGTTCTGAATCTCGAAAAAAGGTCGATCACGTTTCGATCCTCACTGGAAATGCGCAGCGTGGAACAACAGGTGGTGGATACCGATTGGTTTTTCGATCACAATTTTTTTGCGAGCAAACAACAGGATGTTGATTGGTTTCTTGTGTTCAGGTCAATTCACTCATAGTTTTAATTCCATTTAGAAAGAAGATACAGCCTTAAATGTAATTGGATCGATTGGTTTAGGGCTTCAGGTACATGCTGCACAGCACTCGATTAAAAAGGTACAACACTAAGTATTGCTTTCTACAAGAAATTGAGTTGAAGTAATATCGTTAGATACATGAATGGAGAATGATCCATTTCTGTGACTTGATTCGATTATATTTCAATTCGCATGTGATGCGTGCATTGCCTATAGCAATTATCCGACTTCAATTTATGTCTAATCTAATGCTACAATTCTACAACACAAACTCCGAACATGATTAAGCGTTTGAACAAATTCCGTCTGTGTCGAAAGTGAAACTGACTTTATCTACCGAAACCGGTGAAATATCAGCCCTCATTATTGATTTGGCCAATAAACAAATCCCCCAGCAAGGCCCCAAATTGATTTGCCGTGTCTCACTAGCAATTGCATCTAAAAGTCTGTCTTTGCAGTACTCATTCCCACTTACAATATTCATTGATCATTTTACACGATTTCCACGAAATAGGTTTAGAACGGAGTGAATAGAACAGATGCATTGTTTATGTTGCCCTTCCATGTCCCCTGATTGCCGCAGGTCTGACTCTTGTCAATGAATAATAACACAAGTGCATGGAGAGTTGGGTTGGCAAGGTAGTTCTTCCCTCGTCTTCCCGGGATCGATTCCCGGCCCTGTCCACATGTGGATTGGGTTTTCAGTCCTTACCTTACTCCGTGGGTTTTACCCAGACTTATTCCTCTGGAGTTTTCCTTCCACCTCTAAAACTGTAACTGCTTCTTACTATCTCCTCTTCACTGATGTCGGTGAATGTGGGTCGTTTGGCAGCTGCCCGAGGCGCCCTTGTATGCCATCGGCTCAACCATGTGTAAATGTATTCATTGTTCCACGCTTAATGTCTTCATTGTAAAGCGCATTTGAACATAGCTAGATGAAATTTGCGCTTTATGAATGACTAAATTATTAATTCTTATTATTTGTTGCCATCGGTGTACCATGACAACGACAATGTATTTAGGCAAACAGCTACATTCCTGTCAGCGCGATAATCATTTCGTCACGAAAGCAAAATGCGTGGCTAAACAAAGCCAACCAAATATTCCGTGTGAAACTGAATATTGTCCTTCAGCATGCAGGGAAAACTACTTACACGTTTCTCGGAAATTATTTTGTTGACAAAAGGGGGGAAATTTATCATCTGGCATTTGTGTTATTTACTTTATACAAACAATTGCGGGGTCAAGGACATTGCTAACTTAATTTGTGACAGTGGGAACCCGAGCAAAGACAGAAACAAATTGTATTACCAGGACCTACAATTTTTAACGAAGCATTCATCTGGCATTGGTTCATACGCAAATACTAGGCAAAACTGAGTGCCCAGATGAACCCATGCAGGGAACCATAGTGGAGATGTATGAAATTCTCCGTTTTTTAACACTTTATCGGAAAACTGTCACTCTAAACAAGCACAATTTTTGTGTATACCTCATAATTTCAAACAAAATCAATTAGAGCTCCAACCAGAGTTGTTATCATTTACAATTAAACCGAATATTTTTTGAAGAAATGTTCATTTATTAAAGTACCGTAAAGGCGACAAATTATGACATTCTACAACCTGTTTTATATTTAATTAAATCTTTTGAATGTAATGTGAATCTAGCTTAACTTGTAAAATAATAAATTAATTACAAAGAAACTTACAATGGGAAAGTCTACTCACCCAATATGACGAAACCAGTGTTCCGTATTGTATAGATGGCCTTGAATCTTTTGGGGTGGACTATTAGTACATATCGGTTAAGACTTATAGCTGCTAAGGACATCACAGATGCGATGAAGAAAGTCATGTTAGCAAAGCCAAGCACAACACACAGTTCGTTCGAGAAAAACTGATTTCCTTTAACGATGGTAAAGATGGTTATAGGCATGTTGCATACAGACACCAAGACATCGGCACTACTCAGGCAAAGTACTAAGGCGTTAGAGGTGGTACGGAGGGCTTTATTACGCACAATGACGCACCATAAGAGAACATTCCCCGAGAAAGCGACGAGACAAATCACACTAAGGAGTAGAGCTTCGATGACCTTCTCAGCTGTGGATATGTCACTGTGTGTAGGGGAATCTGTGACAGTTTCTGCCCATGGTGAGGTGGCTAACCTGGTGCTATTGTCTTGTAATGTGGCGGTGGCCGATGGGTAGAAATTAGAGTCTGTTGTGTTGGTCATCGTGGCTGGAGTGATTGCCAAGAAATATCCGGTCCGAGAGATGAGTTTAAACTCCTCAGTGCATGGGCCACTCTCATGACCTGGTCATTGCCTAGGGTTGTTTCAGTCGTAACACCGACCTTATCGAACCGCTATCCACACAGCTGTTCCATAATGCATCGGAGTCGGCGATCACAAAAGCCTAATTAAATCAGTAATACTGTCATCTTCCCGCCCAATACGATCCTCGGTGATTCACAGGGATATCAGTAGACTGAATTAACAAGCTCACCCAGTCAAATCTTACTGAAGACCGCTTTCTAATGACTCAGTTAAAAACCGTAAAGGAACGTCAGGAACTTGCCGCACACCGCATCCTAAGGAAAGCAAGTCACAAACTGCAAGCGACCAATCGATACATGTAGGTAGTAGTAACTGCGGAGACTTGATAGAACAACTGACATGCGTGCATCCTAATTCAGCCGTGAATTGTGCAGAAACATGAAATCCATTCTGAACCTGCCAGTGATTTCAGTTGTTGAGACTGACAGGAAAGCTCGGTATTTGTTCATCGACACCGGAACACGGACTAGCTTTCCCACATGCCACACCACCTGCGCGCACGAGGCGTTTTGGTAACCCAGTCAAGTTTCTGATGCCATCGATCTGTGCTAGTGGTGCATCAAACCGACGGCTGCTGCATGTTAGTTCAATTGTATGTCGACCAATAGTCAACAGTCTAGAATAGTAACCCATCCACGTTACTACGTGATTTGTACAGAAATCCGATTAGGGATTTCACCACAAAATGTTCTTTGAAATTCAGAGTGCAATGCCAAGTTTTAGGGGAGTGTAGATCTAAATTCCAATGATACGATTTTTCACACAAAATTTTACGATATCTTTGAAATACAGAATGATAGTTTTCCGAAGAAAAATAAGAAACGTAAAGTTTTAACGTTTTCAGTATCTTGGAATGATAGAGTTCAATTGAGTTTAACGTGACTTATCGCAAAAAAGAAGGTGGTTGAATTATACAACAGACTGACCTCGGCGAATCGCCGAAACTTGGATGGTGATAAATAGTTCCGTGCAGGAGAGAGCTGGCTTTAGTTGTTATTTTGTCTTTTATCGTTTGTGCAAAGTAGTGCAGTCGGGAGCATGTGCATTGTGCACTGTCGGCAAATTTGAATTTTATCACGCGTCAGACCAATTAATGAAGCCTGACCAGGAAGTCAGAATTTAATGCAGATAAAAGGGTTGAAATAAAGTGTTGGTGATTTTTGCCAAGGTTCAAACGTACCCTAAGTTGGAAATGTGGGGGGGGGGGCGAAATTCATTTCAGAGTAAATTACTCCTGTTCTCGGTTTTGTCAGACGGTCAACGACTGTACTCTGCAGTTATGCATGTTAATATGGGGGCAGGTGGGCAATGTAGACGTGGCTGTAAAAAAAAAAAAAAAAAAAATTGTGAAGACTCTTCTTTCATAAAATCATTGGATTCTGTTTCAGCTTAGTTCTGCCCACTGCCAGGGCGTAGGTTGCTTGGTAACTCCAGGACATGTTCGCTTTGAATTTAATCCTATAGTGACTGCAACATTAAGAATCGTTGCAGCAAGTGAAAGCAAACATTCCTAGCAAGTTTCATTTTTTTAAGCAGCTGAATCAAATCGTAAATCATAATAAAGTGAACTGTGTGTGAATGTCACCAGTCAAGTGCATGAGCTAATGGAAACATTTGGTTGGTGAAGGCTATCATTCCTCATTTCTGGGTGCTGCTAATGATGTTGTTGTTTCTTCCTGAAAGCAAATACTGTACCGGTTGAAAGAAATAAGATAAAGATCCTATGCTTAGTGACCACTGAAAACAGAAGGCGAATAGTGACAAGTACATGTGGGCCTATATTCCAAGTTTATCATGCCAATCGACCTGAATGGACCAGAAAACCGAGCAAGCAGGTGGTGCAGACGGGAAACCGTTGGAAGCGACGCAGGATGGATTACATACAGTTTCCGTTGTCCAGTGGCTTTTCCCCAAAACAGGAAACTAGTCACTGTCTATACGATGACCGCCAAAGCCCATCAGCTGAACTTGCTAAGTCTTCACCTTGTCTGTCGTTGTTTAGGATAGTCATACTATCAAACCACGGCGTTTATTGTGGCTGACTCATTTGATGATGGTGGGGATATATTCTTTGAATTTTGCGACGGCAAAGATGTTTACAGTAAACAAGTTCAAGACAGCTGCAGCTCTCAAATCATAACGATAAGTGTGTTACGTTTCGATCTTGGTCGATGGGGGATCTAAACGCACACGCATTGTGTGCCTATTCAATTCCTCGCTTGATTTCTTGTTTATATGCACCTGAAGCCTCGTGTCTTAAACACTAGAAACAAAATTCGGGGATATAGTTGAGTCGCGAGAATTCAAACATTTAATTTTTTGAATCGTAAATAGTAGTGAGAACAGGGTCAACATTAGACCTACAAGTTCGATGGTAAATTCTAAGCCTTTGTAAATCTTGTCACCATACTAGGCACATCATGGAGAACAAAGACAAAGCGGGGATACTGCACCATGCACTTTGTCGTGATAGTTATGAGGCCTATTTTGATAACCACACGTGAACCATAAATGGTCATGTTTGCTGGGTGGTTGTGTTTGTCACATAACATGTATCGCCACGGTGTTTGTCACATAACATACATCCTGTCAACGATGCTGCATGGGAACTTAGTTCCCTTTACCAAATCGAATCCTTGAACTACGGAAATGGATAATCTTTCTTTAGATAAACCCCCGGCACAACAACCTACAAAGTATTCCTATGATTCAGCAAAAAGACCATATTGTATTATCAGCTGTAACGTTCAAATTCGATTTCGTTTCTTGTCAAATTTTTCTTCTCTTGCTTCTCGGTGTCAATTTTACTCATGTTCGTCATGGTATCAGGCCGTACTGTTAAACACCGCTGCAGCAGTTGGGACGATAAAGTGCTTAGACTGGCAGCAGTAAATGGTAACGTCTTTGACTTTATCCCAAGCTTATCGACATGATATTAACGGGCCCATTTGTCGTCCTTGATTGGTGTTCATAAAAATAATGTCCTGAATGACCTTCATCGATAACGTATTTTTATATTGGACCGTTAATTTAATTCACTTATTTTTATTTTAGTATATTACCAAAGGAATATTGCTATGTATTTACTGGTATCCGACTGCATTAAATTTTCTTATCAACAGTAAGTGGTGATGATTGGTACCAGTAACATTGGCAAATTCCCTGTTGATTTTGCCAACCCACTGACCTGGCGAGGTCTTGTGCGAATGCATTTATCCATAGTCCAATGATAAGACAGTCGTTGCTTGCTGAATTTGATTATTTATCGTATTGTGGTTGTTCTCTACAGTTAGTATTAATCTCGGTCCTTACGACTCAGCCTTTGATCATTAAACACTCACAGGGCAGACGTAAATTTTAAACTTAAATACTCTGCCGCGGTATTCTTATTTTTGATTGGAATACCTATAAGCGACTATTTGTGTAAATCGAAAATGATTACCTAATTTGCCTGAAATTTCAATTTATTGAGGATTTTTGGAATCGCAGTCTGTAGGGTCGAAATAAAAGTCTGAAGATGCAAACAAGATATTTCCGAAGTACTTTGTGTTCCAGCATGTGAAGGAAATGCCGTTTAAAGAGTAAAAAACAATTAATGAAAATTGTGGATTGGAGCGTACGTTTCCAACCAACATACCTACAGTAAATGGTCCGCCAGGCTGTCTTTAGACACTAAATCAATCTATATACCCACGATCTGCCAAGGTTCGTTGCATAGATCGTTTGTCAAAAAGTACCTCCATACAACGGGAAACCTCCATACAAAGGGGAAACAAATTGATGCTCTGAGATGATAAATACAATTAAATGTAGAAATGGTAAACCAAATGTCATTTGGTATAGCCAGGATATTGAGTGCATGCAACATGAAACTGTTCCAGACAGACGGAGACACTACGCACAGGAAACGACAGCCCACAGTAGTGCGGATTGAGCACCAATATTTCCTGTTTGGCTTTCTTCCGCCATCTACTTTTAGGTTATCAATTTTACAGTGTTTTCTTATGGTAACCATAGAATTTTTTCTAAAAGGAGAGCTGTTTTTATCAGGCATTATGACCTAGGTTTAACAAAAGGCCTATACCCAGAGAAATGTTCTGACACCAGTTCAAACAGGGCAGTGTGTTTTATTTTTATATTTTCTCAATTTTTCTTTGTTGGTTTAGTTCAAATGGATGAAATATATCCTTACACTCGGTAATACAAGTACAGTGTAGTTTCTTTAACGTGGCAAAAAACCATAAAAAAAGCATACGAAAAGTGAAATGAAATCTCTTTGTTGGTGAAGAATTTTTCTAGACATGTTTTGGACATATATAATAAACAGTATAATTACATCCAAGATTTTTTTCTCTCTTGGAAATTGCCATTCAACCTTGTAATTACGCAGTATAAGTTAAATCCACCCTAAAAATCAGAAAACTAAGACCGAAAATGGAAAGACGAAAAATATATTCAGAATGGGCCTAAACTAGGCGTTTTACTACTCCTAATTTATTGCAGTCTTCAATTACTTATGTCAACCGATGACGGTACCCCTTTTACGAGTGTAATTTAAATTTGTTCCCTCAATGTCAACACTTTCATTGCATTTCGGGTGACAGCTGTTATATTACATGATGAATGAGAATAGGAGTAGAAAAGTAATGTTCTGTGACGTATGTTTCACGCTTTACTGTTTAGTTTCCAATCTCAAGCGTATGAAAAGCAGATAAATTTCAAGGATTTTTGCCAGCGCCTGACGGAGTGCTGATTGCTGATTACCAGTCTCATCTCATGCTGGTAATTGATCTCGTGATGTGGACCAGACGGTCACCAATTTTAACAGTCATCCAAGTCGGCTATACGCCCGTGTTTTACAGTATGGATATCTAGAGATGGCTTCAATAATCAACGAGCAATGTTGACCGCGGAAAAAAAGCTCCAACCCATCTTGTTAATTCCTAAATTACCGGCATGGGCAGCGATACTATTCCTGGGTGAAGTATACTTGAAAAACAGACTATACTTCTTTTTTCTGATGAAATCAAAAGTATTTTAGGCCAGTACTTTCCATGAAATAACTCATGAATGAAATCGTTTTCAAGTTGGTCAATAACAACATTTGTAAAACTAACGAGGGTAGTCCTTATCTTATATCCCTCCGTTACACATCTTGCGTTAAATGCAACACCTATAAAGAACTTCACCAAAAATAATAAATCGCAGTAAGCCTCACCTACTGTGCTTTTTTAAATCACTGTCTTTATTTGTAATTCTAGAATGCAATATTTCAGGTGTGAATAACATTTCTCAAAAGCTTCAGCACTGAACGCAATAAATCAAATACATTATTGCACGATGGAGTTTCAGACTTCCTGTCCTGTCTTACCTGTTGTTCTTACATTCGAATAAAAGTACAAGCATAAAATAACACTTTGTTTAGAATTGCAATTAGAATAAAAATCAGTGACCAGAAATAAACTTTTCACACTGCTACTTCATTTAAACAACGAGAGGAAGTCGTGTCTGGTCCCAGAGAGGTGTTTGAGCCATGAGGTCGTGTATAAGGCGTCATTTCGCTTCCAGAATGTTTTTTGCACGCGTTGGAATGCACCAATGGACTGGAAAATGGCTATAAATTATAGTGCTTTGAGGTGGCATGACAAACAATGGATCAAACTTGGAAGATAGATCGTTTCGTGCACCAACACGCACGTAGTCTTTGGAACCAAAATGGCTCCAAAACTGAAATTGTCGCAACTCTTACTTCTGTCCCAAAGCACGGACGTGTACAAAAAACCAGGACAACGCCTTTGTATCAAGAAGCCAAGCAGGGGCCATTTTACCGAGCCGAACACAAATGCGTAGGTTGGCTCCCATCTACTGATGTCAGGAAGAACACAGGCGGGCATTGCCAGGGAAGCTTTGTATTCGGCTAGGTAAAATGGCCGCGAGTGGATTAAATGATCTCTATAAGCTGGTTAAGGGCATTGGAGTCCAGATATTATTATTATACACGTCCGTGTCCCAAAGCCGTGCTTGGTCTGTCCTAACCTACAGCGCCCTCTGTTGGTGCCCGTGCTACAACATAATGCAAAAAATGCTTACAGCTGTTTGACCATGCAGCAGTAGTTAAATTCCCTAAAACGAGTAAAAATAGAAACTACAATACACGTATATGAAGTTCCTAATTTTTTGGCATTCAAAATCTACATCATATCGCATTACTTCGATCACACTTGGCGCAAGAAAACACATAAATTATTGGCAAAATTCATGCTTTGTGATATTTGTTGTGCTTGTAAATAAACTGGTATACAAAATTTTTGAAAGTACAGATTCTACTCTAAATTCTCAATTACAAACCATTTGACAGAAAGCTTGACTTACATCAATTATTCTTCAGAAATCTACTGTTAAAAACATCTTACCAAAAAATACATCGAAAATTCCACTTTTGCATATAGCTATTGAAATCGACACACCTACAACGACGGTAGGTTGCTAATCTAAACATAGACAACAGCATATCGAATAAATACTTCCCTGACATAAAACTACGAGTATTAAAACACATTCAATAAGGACAAAACTACATCTGGGCAAGTTTCACACGATACAATAAATAAATTACTAATAATATGTACCCTGTTCATATTCATTTATGATAAAAACCACATTGCATACTCCAAACATCAAACTTATTTTTAACGTTGTGACTGACAACTTCACCTACAAACTGCAGACGCACAGCAGTTTGATTTTAAATTCAGATTTTGTAACTGCTACTTTTGGCTTAAGTTGATTGCCTTCAGTTTGTAATTACCTGCATACACTAATTTTATTGCACAAATGAAATCTGAAAAATGACTGGAAAGCAACTACTGCAAAAGGCTAAATTTGTTAATTCCATTGAAAAAAACAAGTCAACAGAAGCAACAGGGAGCATGACAAGTAATCCATATGCTTATTTGTGTACATGTGTATCCCATTTTGGATGAATTGACATCACCGCTGAAGAATTCTTTTGGCCTTGACCAAAAACATTTCAGAGTTTAAAAATAAAAATAAATTGGGGCCTAGTGTGCAGAAGTTGTTCAAGAATAATGAACAACATTTTAAGAGAAGTCCATGGCATGGTAAGAGTATCTATAATTTTCCGTTTTCAAGACGAGAACACAGCACGATTTTTCTGTCCACTGTAAACATGGGCAATCTCTATTATCTGAAATGACAATGTTGTCACTCAGGTTTATTGCAAGATGAAGTTGGGCATCTATTCTTATTCAAGATCCCAGTTGTGTAGACTCACATGTATTATTTACATGATCTAGAAAGAAAGGCCTTGACCTCAGTGGAGCAGTATTTAAGTAATCATATGACCATCATTGATCCCATCAACAGAAATTTGACTCTATTGCTAAAATTTCAGCAATGCTATACACAGACAAGCAAAGAGACCCACGATGCCTGGCTGGATACTGACAGCTGAATCAAATGCAGAGGGATCAAAATTGAAGCATCTCTCTCGTCCAGGAACGACTTCAAAATTATTGGCCTCACAGAAGTGACGTCCTGACTCAAATTTCTCTCCAATGGAGTTATCCTCTAACCGAGCATCCTTGCATAATTCAAAGGTTTCTTCACAGAAGTCAGAACAGATAACCACTTTCCTGAACATTCAACAAGTCAAATGGTAATCTGTGTCATCATCATCATCACGTTTGCTACATGTAAGCTTTAAGTTTCCAAACACGAGTAAATAAAAAAAAGGTAATGACATTGAACAGTCTGTGTACCTGTATGTGAGTGAAATTCCTGAATAAATACTCATTATGACAAGCCTGTCTAAAATCGAGACTGAGATACTTACGAGTCGTACCAGTCCACTTGATTAGGACTACAGAAGTAACACATCATGTAGTTGAGTCGAGATTTGCACTGACGTGATTCCCCATGGATCTTGAACATACTGCCAAAGACAGAGGACACCTCAGTACGTCTACAGCAGGCCATGTCACGATACCATGTACAGTTGGATAGATTGGATTGCTGCTCAGCGTACCTGTAGTTACCTGGAGAAAGACCAAGAAAGATGGAAAACAAAAGTTAATATATGTAATTGGCTGATGGGAGAATTATTGACAAATTGTGCAACAAGATTGATTGATCATGCTAAAATGGCTAAGATCAGGTGATCATGCGAATCGACAGATCATGCCCAACATTGTTTTTTATTAAGTCTGCTCTGCTAGTAAGCCAAAGTACTAAAGGTATGCCTACCAGATCATACAGGTAATTACCCCCACTGCATGCCCAGCACCCTCCCCCCCAACGCAAAGGTGCCTTAGGTCTTGGCCTTAGACTGGTTCCCGTCCCTTAGTCTCCAGACGTCTTACAGACATCCTTGGAACGTAGGGACGGGTAGCAGGTAATGAATCCGGCAGAATCCTGCCAGGTGTATGTAAATAAGGAAACAATGCACAATCCAGCAGGAGCTGATATATTTCTCTTGCTCTTCTTTGCTACTAAACAACTTCACAATAAAGTAATCATTGGTCTAAAATCTAGCACAATAACCACTGATTAGAAATAAACTGCCGTAAAATGATATATTGATGATAATCATTGAAAAAAAAAGAATACCACACTCAGTGACACTGTGATCAACAGAGGTTTAACTGGTTTAATATTGGCCTCCACGCTGGGCCTACCATGGCTACATGTACATATGCTGGCATGACAGGTTAAAGCATAGCTATTGGTCTAACAAAAACATCCATATTCAGCATCAAAATTGACAGGGCTAATCATATACGTTAAACCGCAGACAGCTACCAGTCCCTATACACAGGGACGAACCAGTCCACCGTAGGCCTTGCATGCCCAGCCCCCTCTACCTCCCCCCAAAGAGAAAGAGACTGGAACAGTACAGTGCACATATTTAACAGTTCCGTTTAAACACTGCCTAATAAAAAACTAAAAAGGACACAACTTACCATAATATGTGCAAACTTGGCCAACAACATACGATACAAATAAGATTAGAAACAAGCGCACAGTGGAAATCCAGTGGCGGATGATGACAGCCATTTTGTTTACCTTTTAATAAGGCAAAGTTCAGAGGTCACCAGCTGAGCTGGTCGCTGGTACGCTTCCCTGCACGTTCTGTCATCTTTGTACCAGGCAGGAAACCAGCCACATCGCGTACGCGCACGCGTGCCCTTGGCACTGGCACACATTCTCTGCATGGTGTGGGAATAAGCTCACCTTTTGGGGCCCAGAAATGGCAAAATCTAAAGAAAACCTGTTTATGAGATGCAAGAACCACGTTCATGGATTGCTGTTTGATCCTAGTTTCTTGTGGATGACGGCAGCGATGCTCTGGCTGGCCGAAATTGTTGTGAATGTTCTTGTAATTCAGAAAGTCAAGTGTAAGTTCAGACATGGTTCAGACCATGATTGACCAACCATATTCCTCTGCAGACTAGTAAGGATTTAGACATGGTGGCAGCAAGTTTTGCATGCATATCGATAGTTTTGTTGTGTACCCATGAAGGAAAAGAAGTATGTTGTGCCATAAATTTATCAGTTCAGTTTAATTTTCATTTAGCATCTGATCATGATTCACACTCGTCCAATGTCTTTGTTTTCCCTTATCCCTGCTTATTGCACATGGCACAGATACAGAGATTGACTGGGAGGCATACATGGACGAAGTAGAAGGAGTAATTAATGGAACTTATGACTACATGAAATTGAAGGGAGACACTGGACCACTTGTGTAAGAAAACTGGTTGTGAAATAGTCTGTGTCTTGGTTAGAGTATACATGGTTGAGAAATACTGTTTTCTTGGAATCAAATGCAAGCTCCTACTAGTCTTGAGACCACCAATGGAAGGTCAATTTACAAGTTATGCTTTTAAGTACACATGCAAAGAACCCTACATGCATAATATCTATGTACCTGCATGTGTAACGCTAATCATACTACTTTACAATTTAACAAGATGGAACGTGAACAAATCTGTCAGATCTAGCTGCATTGGACAGTCAGTGGCCACAGCACCATAACTGCTAATTGTGAGGCAATGGGATTGTGAAGACCTGTTCCAGTTAACGATTATTGATTTCAGGGAGGTATTCTGGGGGTTAACTAAAGTGGTGTTGAATGAATATTGTTGAATGAGTGTTGTTTAATTGACTAACGTATCAAGTCACAATAAAGAGGCAAATTCAGACTAACGGGTAGTGTTGAGATATATACATGATCCATTTTGAAGTCTTTAATTTTTGGTAATTTTGATGTCTTGATGTTTCTTTGGCTAGATATCCTGCAGGGTTTGTTTACATCTTCTTGGGGATGTATTACATCACTGACAAAGGCACAAACATCCGATTGGCACAGTATATTTTTGCTGGTCTCTACTTGGCAACTTTGCTGCTAGTCTTTAGAATATACAGCAGAACAAAAAAGGTTAGTCTTACAAGTAAAATGTTGATGTTAAAGAAGGAAATCATTATTTCTGAAATGATAATCCCTATAAATAAAAGCAATCATTCAAAGTATTATTAGTCCTGTCAACCCCATAACCTCCAACCCCCCCCCATGCAAAAACTTCAGTTCAGATCAGAGGATCGAGGTCTGGTAAGGATGACTTTGACACCAGGTTGTGCAGGATCAACCTGGAATGAGTGTTTCTTTAACTACACCTTCTATCAGTTACCACTCTGGAGGTCCGATATGCTTTGTTTTACAGGTAATTTTATACTGAGAGATAAGTTATATTTATTTACATGTACTTTAGGCCTGATGTAGCACTTCTTCTTGGAATAACACCATTAGATAACAGCACAGTGTTAGTTTGTCTAAGATTCATGCTTTTAGAAAAAGACTTTTCCTTTTGACTCTTTTTTTCCCTGTCTGCCAGGTTCCACCCTACGTCTTATTTTTTATGTGTTGTGCTTCCTACCGTATTCATTCCATCTACATTTTGAGGATGTTCAACGATCCTGTTGCCATGTTCTTCCTTTACCTCTCAATCAACCTCTTCCTAGATGGAAGATGGAATTGGGGATGCTTTTGGTTCAGGTAAGATGATCGTCAGCTAAGATTTCCAAATGATACCTGAACCTGCTTATAAACACTTTTGTTAGGACTGATAGAACTACTTGGATCGCTTTCATGGCTCTAGTACCCGAAACTCTCTAGTACCCGAAACTCTCTAGTACCCGAAACTCTCTAGTACCCGAAACTCTCTAGTACCCGAAACTCTCTAGTACCCGAAACTCTCTAGTACCCGAAACTCTCTAGTACCTGAAACTTTCGCATACCATTTTCATACATCACTTTTCAGGCAATCGCCAGCTGTTAAAGGCAATGACCTGTCCTTGATGAATCTTTAGAGTGTAATCAAACCTGGCTTGTGATAAGTTTTTGACAGCCTTCTGTTATGAATTGGTATTTACCCTTTTCTCTTGTAGTGTCGGTGTGTCGGTCAAGATGAATATCCTTCTCTTCTCTCCAGCTCTTCTTCTCCTTCTGTTGACAGAGTTTGGCTTCTGGGCAACCATCCCAAGACTCTTCATATGTGCATTCTTACAGGTATTAAATCATATGACCATCTGTTTGACTGGCCAATTGGTGTAGATGGGTTTGTGTTCAGTTACTGCAAGACTCAAGTCAAGAGACTCAGATTTCAGGCTTGTGACTCAGGACTTGGACTCAGACTGGACAGTGGTAACTCTATTACAACCCTGACTTTTGGGACAGCATATCATACTCTGCTTGCTAGAACGGTGGCTGCCAACTTTCTAAGGGCAGTTACCTCTTTTTTTGTCCCTGGCGTCAAGTTTGTCACCGTCTTGTATCCGACATGGCTTCCAGGCTTGGCAATCTGTCTGACGGATTGGCTTGTGTTAAATGCCCTTGTTGGTTTTTCAACTTGTAGCCTAAAGGACTACCAACATTGTTGATTTTCTTGCTGTCTGGGCATTGTTTCTGTTTGTGTAATGTGCATTTTTGTAGCTATAGTGGACCACATACTTGCTAAACTTCTGCATCTTTCATTGTTATTTTCTTTAGTTCGTTGTGGCAATTCCTTTCCTTCGTGAGAATCCAGCAGGCTACATCATCCGTTCCTTTGACCTGGGTCGTCAGTTCTTCTTCAAGTGGACGGTCAACTGGAGATTTTTATCCGAGGAGTTTTTCCTGAATCGTTACTTCCAGATCTCACTCCTGGCTATGCATGTGGTGCTTTTAGCATTATTTGTCATACATAGGTGGAACAGGTAAGATATTTGATAATTACATGTACTCATCACCAATTATTCTTTTCTAAATGTAGTAGCATGTTCTTCGAATTTCCAAATTTACATTAAGTGTATTATGAATGAGGTTGCTATAAATTGCTTGATTTTTTTTTGTTCCAGGAGGCGAGGTGGAATCCTTGCTCTTTTGCCAAAGCCACGGAAGGAGGAACGATTTGTTATGGGAGATAACTATATCCTTTGATCATAAATGTTCCCAACTTCCTTTCTAAAAAGTTTTACTGGAACACTTTCTGTATAGAAGGTTATTAAGCTGTAAAAAGGAAAATGACATATCTGGCTGAGCATGTGTTGCAAAGTTAGTGCTGTTTAATTCTTTGACTTAACATGACCATTGATATGTTTCCTGGTAAAAATCACCTGTTACTCAGTCACTGTCCCTCCTCTCCTCACCTGCTGCTACAAATCTGTGAAATGGTTTATTTTACATTGGAATCCAAAATAAAAGTTTTTCTTAATGAATTTCTTTAGCTTGCCCCCCATGATATTTCCTTTTCTGGAAAATAAATCCATACTGCTCTTTGTAGTAAACTGTATTTCCTTAACTTCTTCACACATATTGTTAGTACCCTCTTTGCTGCCAATTTCATTGGTGTGGCCTTAAGTCGATCTCTGCATTACCAGTTTTATGTCTGGTATTTCCACACATTACCCTATCTACTGTGGACCACCAATTTACCCTCTGTCATCCGGTGAGTACAAATTCTTAACAAGTCTAATGAAGTAGGAAATTTAGTTAGATATCTCCTTTAGTGCATGGAAATGGGAGGAGTTTCCTTGGGAAAGGAGGGGGAGGGAAGAGACATCACAAACAGGTTTGAAAATCAAGTATCAAGGTGATCATTGGTATCTCTGAGTACAGCATAATTCTGTTTAGAGAAGGAGTTTGCAGATGACAAAATTAGTTAATATCAATTTACGCGAGAGTCTTTGAAGTTTAGTTGGGCTTTCCCTGGATATTCCTTCATAAGCTAAAATACATTAGATGTATAAGAATTCCAGACTTTTGAGTAGGAACTTTCTTCCAAAATGTAAATTGGTCTTCAAAGTTGTAAGTAGGCTTGCCATGAAGGCCTGTCCTTGCTTTTGATCCTGATATCCTGTATGGCCTCCATAATATTATCGATGGCAATGTTGTGGATATTTGATTTTTCAGCATTTTAATTCTCGGCATCATTGAGTTGTGTTGGAATACCTACCCTTCCACCTTGCTAAGTTCTGCCGCTCTCCACATCTGCCATGTGGTTATCCTCTTTGCTTTGTGGCTAAAACGACCAATCACCAAAGAGGATTTAGTTCAGGAGAGTTGGAAATCAAAATGACCCCCGAACTGCCAGGTACTGTGTAGTATCTCTACTGGTGCTATTTTAAGAGAAATATACTGATGTAATACTTTGAATATTAATGGTGCAACTCTGTAGAGCAAGGCGTAATTTCTAAGTCACGCTTCATAAGAATGTATCTCATTTTCTCACATAAACAGAAAAAAAGCGCAAGCAAATGTTTTGTGTTTTCTAAGAAAGTAACTTAAATTGTGCAGTCTGTACTGAAGCTCTCTGTTGTCTGACCTGGTGGTTGACGTTTGAGTTTCAGACATTTTGTGTCTGTAAAAAAGACACAGCTCTCATTTTATATTTGTCATAGCGCCCTCTCGACATGATTATGATCACTTCAGCTTTAGCAAGATTTTGCTGGTTTGGAGATATTTTATCTGCATCTTTATTGCTCCTGCATTACTTAAGTCATCACCTGATGTGTCTTCAAAACGGAGGCAGGATTGACGATTCCTGATAGAGTTAAACTCCTTCGATCTCAGGGAGGATACTGTCCGTTAGACCTTTCATGACAGTCTGTGTTCCTTTAAACTTTTGTCTTGCTGTTCATAAAGATTCCCACTAAGTACTAGACTTGTCTCTACAAAGCTCAGTATTGATATGTACATGTATTTGGCATTGAAGTTAACTGACTCACTGGTAGATCAATTGCTTGATGGATCCTCACCATAGTTTGATTGATTGGCTGTTGACTGGTTTCTTGGTTGGTTGGCTCATTGAATTATTAGTTGCTTGTTCAACTGATTGATTGGTTAATTGATTGGTTGATTCATTGACTTGAATCATGGGTTGACTGATTTTTTATGATTGGTTAACTGAGTGGTTGGTTGATAGGTTAATCAACTGATTTTTTTGCCATTTCTAAGACTTAACACACATCAACAAGCATTTTCTTAAAAATATGCTTCAAATTAATATTACAACATTATTGACAAAAGAAATGGTCTGCGAAGACAGTTTCTTCAATTATTGAATTATTGGTTGATTGGTTAACCAATTGATTGGTTAATTGATTGCTTGATTGATAAACTGATTGCACAGTTTTCAGACAGTTACCGACATTACCAACAGTTTGTGTACAAACACTTCCTTACAAGTGAAAACCAATTAAACATAAATCCATTTATATAGAAAATGGCCTGCAAAGTTGAAAACAATTAGAAGGTACACATAACAGTAACCGAGGAGATCATCGACACCAAAACAACCAATAAAATTACAACAATTAATTCTATAACACAAAGACATGCAGGACAAGAAGAAAGATAGTTTGAACATTTTTAAAACCAGTTAATACATTGCTTAAAACAAGTCTCTTCAAAGATCAAACTGCTCAATAACCATTTATACAATGTTCCTATTATTCTTAATATATGTAGATTGATCTCCACTGTTTTATGAGAATGATTTGAATGATGTTCAAGTCTTGTCATGTCTTACCCAGATCCTTAAGATCGTCCTTTGCCATCTGTGAACGAGATGGTCGAGTTTAACTCGTTGACATCAATTTGGGGCGTTAACATGTCCAAAAGTCCTCTTCGCCATGTTCGCCTATTTCCTGCGGTACACCTGACGTACTGAAAAATCCAGAGTAATTGAATGAGTCTGTCGTGTGGAAGAAATTCCTTTATTTTGTCTGCATTAATGTACATGTTTAACTGGAGACTAACAGTGCCTTCTACTGACGAACTGTCAAAGTGACATCATGTTTTCTGTAGGTCTTTGTGGTGTTTGAGGTCCTCTTAGGAAATATGCTTGTAGCTTACCTTCTGTAACCTTCCTTCAATGATATTGTTCATGCTTCAGTGACCCTATAAAATATTTTTCTGTCTTCATGTCCTTCGTGTCTTGTCAAGACAGGTGTACTTGCTTCATTACACATGGAGCAGTTGTTTAAAATGACATTAGAATGACTCTCCCTGTGCTTATTCCAGCACATTTGTTCACGATTTGTGTTTTTGAAGCTTCAGAGCTTGTCTCATCTGTCTGCATTTCCTCGCTGCATTTTTCTGCCTTGCATGTAAGGTGTCATTAAATGATGATTGGAGTCACCTGATATGAAATTGACTAAAGAAACAAGTGAGCAGTTGCTACAGCAAATTACTCACCTATCTTTGTTTAATGATAGGTTGCCCCAGTGGAATGGCCCGTTGCATTTTCAAACTATTCCGGTTCTTTTCATTCAAATAGGAAAACAATTTACCAGCGATGCTACAAGTGACATGGTATCATCTTGGATTTATTGTCACATACTGTATCGCAAAATACACATTAATGAAAACAAAACCTTTCGCCAAGTAAGCCAAGACGCCTGTTTAAATTAGCATACAAAATAAATTGTGATAGAGTTTATCGTGTATATGCTCATCTTCAAAAAATAAACGTATTTGCAAAAAAATGTGCTCATTTAAAGTTATATACTGAAGAACTCTTTCATCGTGTAGAAGTGAAACATCATACATGTACATGGATAACACGATCTGCTTCTTTATTGAAATTGGAAGGAAAAACGACTGTAACGCTAGATGTTTGTATAACAAATTGAATCAATTAGCAGGCAACAGTTGTAGGCCTTATGACCGTAATATGACGATTTAAGAAATAGGCATTTTATTTGTTACAGTTACGATGGTAATTGCACGATTAATTCAAACAGAACCAAGCAACAATGCACAGTTGAATAGTGTTTCTGAGCCATCTTGCAGCTCCATAAGAATGCTATGTTGTGTTTACAGTAATAAACATTTATGCTATCGTAATTCAACTCTCTGTTCTCTTGAACGCCAAATGTTTTAGTAACTAGTCATGCAGGATTATTCTGAGGGCTTTTCTTAACAATTACAAGCATATCTTTGTTTCTTGGTATTTCTTCGACATCTGTAAAACCATTTATACGTTGTACCCTTTTATCATAAAGCATAGATATTTAGAAAAGCTACCGGTAAATCTCAAACAGAAATGAAAAATAGTTTATTTCTCCCCCAAGGTTGAATTTTAGTTGCACTGTGGAAGGCAGTATCGATATAACTGGTATTTTCTTCAGGTCCACCTCACAAACATCTTTTTTACTTAGTCGTAAAAGGCCAGAAAATTCCTTACACGGTACAAGTTAAGTTACTGATATTTTGCCTGCCACCCAAATTTACCATTAGAGGGCGCTGTTCTTTTTGTTTTTATTGGTTGGTTTTTTTTTAAAATCATATCATTGCAATTAGTTGAGTCGTTTGCAAGAGGTAAAAGTGATACCTTCATTTCCCGGCTTAGATTTCCCACATGTGGTTGTCTCTTAACTTTCTTTTCATATTGCATTGAGAAATCACACTGAAGAACCGTACTGAGCTTCTGCCTGCCTGTCTGATTTAAGTCAAATTAGGGCGTTTCTCATGTGAACGTTAATTGTTCAATAAAAGAAAGAAAAGTAACAAATGTATTTCATACAAATGCTTGTCGTTCTGTGGCATAATTTTCCAATGTTGTATTCAAAGGTTGTATCCTGGATCCCATTTTTTCCATCCTTTTAACACTTGCCCGGGGTTGGATATTTCACTTCCAGCGCCTTCCCCTCCTTTTTTCATGTCGCTCTTTGACTCACCCAAAGACCTTCAAATCCAGTTCCCTTGCTCTCACAGACAATCGTCAGTTTTATAAAGTCATCTCACATTTGCTTAATTCAACTTGTTGCAACTAAGTAATCCTGAAAGTCGAATACCGAGTCATCCATCGGCCTCAAGCTCCCAAGCCCCCAAATTAGAAGTTGAAAATTTACCAAGCCAAACTCTGACCGTCAGCTATCAGATAGTCTCACGACCTCGATTACCCCAGCCTGCTGTCTCCCACTCTTCGAATATGTCATCAGCTCTCAGACTCCCCAACCTCAGGATCCCTGGTTGAAAAATTGTCTAAGTCCAACAATGAAAGGTTTAAGATTTAAAAACGAGCACAAGTTTTCGAGAAAGAGCCGTGGCGTAACGGTTAAGGACACTGACTGCTATGCACAATGCCCTGGGTTCGAATCCCAGTAGGCATGCACAATTTTGCTAAAAAACTTAGTATAAAAAAAAAAAAAAAAAAAAAAAAACTTCCCTCTCCGGGAACCCCGGCTTTCGAACCAGGATCCCCAGGCCTGCCAGTCAGCAAGCCAGCCCACCAGGCAGGCAGCGAGCTAGACCACCAGGCCACAAGCTTCTTGAAGAAATTGTGCTTGGATCTTATATTTAAAGGTTAGATTGCGCAATAAAAAAAAAAAGCTTGGGGTATACCGTGTTTAAGTATCAGGCGAAAGAGGAAAGTCTACTTCATATGAGAGCACTTACGATTTATTGATGCATTAAGCCATAACAATGGAACAAAAAAAAATTCGACTTTCTGGATCATTAAAGGGAATATGAATGAAAAATTCCCGAAAATGTTGATCTTAGACAAAAATTAAGCGCAAGTGCGACAAACCATGAAGTTACTTCTTCACTTTACTCGGGTTGGGGAAAGATATTAAATATTCCCTTTGTTTTCTTTTAATTATCATGTCGTATTTTGGACTGTCATTTTTTGATAGTAGTTCTGACATTTTTTCCCAATCTAAACGTATCTGAAATTTGCAGTACTAGTTACAAATGTATATTAACAACAATGCCATAGTAGCACACGGAATTAACTCATCATCACCGAGTCGTGTGAGGGCAGCAAACTTTGTTCTTTCACCTGAGCATCTGCCGACCAAAACAGAAAATGTATTCATCTTTTCACAAAACTGTTTTTATAAACTTCCGAAATCACATATTTGAAGAATTTCCAACCATTTTCTAAGTTTTTGAACTAAACTTTTTAGAGATTTTGCATGACGGGTAAACTTCTGAAATCCAAAAATGAAGTGTGGAATACGGATTGCTGTAGCTCATCTTAAGGAAACTTTTCTAACATCTTTCATTGATACCTTCCTGCAAAAAAAATGAATATGTAGGCCTACTTCTATTGGCTGTCATCAACACGCCTCTTTCATTTCTGACCGTTATACACCGCTTCATAATTATTACATTACTGACCAACAGTGACGAACATGGAAAAACAACAAAATTTCGTAATTGTTTTTCTAGACTATGATGCTATAGTACTGGCATGAACTGCCTATACACGCAGACACCTGTTCACGTAAAGGCATTCAGGGTAAATATATAGAATAAAAGACATAGCTATGGATATTTACAATGTGAAGGTGTATATATACATGTACATGATCTGGAAAAGTTTTATACATAATAAATGAAAGACGAGCCATTTTTTACACAAATTCAGCTTGGACAATAAATTACAGCATGTGAACACATTTTGACGACTGTCAAAAGGGATTCCCTGGAGTTATTTTTATATAAATTAATGTTTATAAATATAAATAAACGAGGCATGACATTTACTCTGGTTATGATCGCAATGAGTAGTCATCTTTCTGGAATAAATGGTTAGTTGTTCATGCAAATTTTCAAACTCTAATACCTCGGCTCAGTTGTTTAGAACTCCTTTGTGAGGCAAACATCTTGAGACTCTAAAAGTGTCTGGTAAGTAAGTCGAAGAAACAATTTTTTGAAAAGGCCAAAACGGTTCTCAAGGCAATTTCAAAGCTGTTAAACATTTTTTGTTTGTCCTCGCAAATAATCACTTTTCAGTTCATTATACCAAATGAAATAAGAATTCCTCGTATTTTTGTGTAATTTTGTTTTCTGTACAGTCGGCTTGAAACTAAAAATACACTTCGATTGGTAGCGAACATAAAGAACTTTATCATGAACTCTGTCTGTCTGAGCTAGGTTAATGCAAGACGTGGAATCTTTGGACCAGCCAGAGATTTATAAAGGCAATCTTATTGAGAGTGAATTTAAAAAGTGCAACGGAAAACGGAAAAAAGTTTTCAAATTCATTCACACCCTTTTTTTTTAATCATGCATCATCTACATCTAATAATTTGAAGGATATAACTGTACTACTTCTGTACAAAATTGTTGATTATACTCTGATGTTCAGTTTCATGTTGAAATCATGGCCGAAAGAGAAAAGTGGTCGTTCTGTGACAGTTGCATAAAAATAGTGAACAATTTTGTACTTCTTAGGTTTACACGATCTTAATAGATGTTATTATAAAGCATGTGTGCTAAATATAAAGTGTGATGATGGCAATGGGCGAAAATATTTTCTGTTTTGCCTCACCCTTTTGCTGGCCCTGTTCAAGATGGAATAATCGAAATTATTAGACAGACTACAAGTCACAGAAACTACAAGCTTGAACAATCATCCACAAAATGGTACAAAGACATTTATGTCTGGCTTAATGCTTTAAAAACAGCACCAAAAGTTACTCTACTTTATCACAAATTGCGACAGGGAATGCACGGATATATGTTTAAACACACTTCGAAATAGTGATTACGCGGATGTGTTTTATAAAGGCCCCATGGACTTTGAGATGCATGTATACCATAAGGCCATTCATTACGTACTGTTTCGTTAGAATCGATGTAAGGGCACGTGCCTTTGTCTTTTTCATATCATCAGTTTCTTTTAGCATTGTAATTTTTTAGTCATTTTTATGCGTCGGATGGTTTGTGAAATGAAAATGTAAAACAAAATAATGGTAGCTTTTTATCATAAGCATTGTTTATGGTTTTGTTGTTTTCATTATTTTATTTATTGTAAGATTTCTTATACGCATTTCTATGATTTTTAATGTATTTTTATGTACCACTTTGCAACCTTACCAGGTTGCAAGTAAGTGGCAATAAACCAGTAAGAATAATAATAGTATCTTTCCGCTTTTTCTATGTAAGTGTACTTGATTTCTCCCAATCAGGGCTGACAGCATGCAGTCACGAGCTTCATATCCCAAAGTCTTCACAAGATAGTCCTACTCGGTGATAGTAAACTTTCCTAAACTGCGTTTTGAGATAATTATTTTACTTCCGTAATCATGTTCATAACCTCTTTAAATTCAGAAGTACAATTTTCTGCAGAATAAGCCTAAGAACTTAAATCTATTTTCTTGACAGCACAATAACTTGATACGCAGCTGCTTTCAATCCCGGTAGATCGAATCCTCGTGGTAGACGCTGCTCATTTAACCAACGGTCAGCTTTAGCGGCCAGTAGCTCCCACTCATTAAAGAAAGAGGCACAATTGTGCTCCAGCCAGGTTAGAGACAAGACAGTAGCCCAGATGCGGTTCTCCAAAACCTCCCCAAACGAGTCGTCAGAACCCAGACGCCTACTCCCAGGACTGTTGCTGCTACAGACGTCGCTCTTTGCGGCATTGCTCTCTGTCAGCGATGACTCGACACGCGTGGAATACGTCATAGTAAGCGCTCCTAGAACAGATTCATCAGGGGATGAAAAGCATGATCTTAGGGTCTGGTATCCACTGTCAGACTGTGGTAAAGTAGTAGAGGGTTTACTACCATCGACAGGGCTCTCGACTATCTTGATGTGCATCTCATCCTCCTCTTTATCTTTGTCTTGGCTGGTATAGGCATCATCGGTGTCAATGTTGCTTGGACTGGATACTCCTCCTTTGGCAGTTGTATCCACCTCGGCTTCGAAGACGCTCTCCTCGTCACCAGCCGGGATGCAGAGAGGTGATGCCCTCTTCAGCTTCTCCATGGGAATATCTAAGGCTTCAGCTAGCTCCTGATCGAGGTCCCATGATCCATTAGATAGCTGGAGGTTGACAAGAGCGTGCAGCTCAACTGTTTCCATGCTGAGGGTCCGACCACCTCCTTCCATCATGTCAACAGCACGGAAGAGTGGTCTCTTCGACGGCATCGTGCTCAATCGGTTGCTAAGCTTAATGAGGCGGGTGGCTAGTTGCCATGGTTTCGGCTTAGTGATGTTGATGTTGGAAAAGGATCCAGAAAACGACCCTGAGTAAAAAGCATAACCCATAAAGTATTAGATATATTCGGCAAGGAAATTGCTTGTGAAATATTTTAATAATTGACAGTAAATGATATCGACACCATCTGCACTCTGTCGAAGGTATTGCCGTGTGACTTACATTCAGGTACTTCGTGTGATGACCAGGTCGGACTATTGGATCCAGCGTGCGGTAAATCAAGGGAATGTGAAGCCGAGTAAGGTTGGGACTGAGACTGACTAGAACTCATTGAATCAGATCGACCTGGAAAAAGACAGAATTGACGGTATGCTCATGAGGAATGAGAGGCTGGAAACAAAGCACTGGATGCATTTGGTAAACGAATCATTGTTAGGGCTGCAAAATGAAAAGGAAATAGGCTCTGTCTATGTCAACAGTGACTGTAAATTACCTAGTCCTGACGAGAAGGCGTCTTCTTCCGAGTCGGTGAACGACGTGGATATCCGTCGACCTAACCCTTTGCTGTAACCAAACCGAATGGATCGTTTACCAACTGGCTTTGAGATGCGTGGTGTTGGCTGGATCACCTATAACGCAGAATAGAGTAATATTGTCATGAAAGAGACATGAACTGGGTTCTGCGTGGGCATTGAACACTGCTTATCAATGACAAGATCTAAATATCTGCCAATGTGGGACAATTCCCTGACAGAATAATAATTCTCCATTAAAATCGGAGAACAGCTCAAGCAATAGACCCCTTGTACTCGGTGACTGTTCCTTTTACACAGTATGGAGTCATTGAAAGGCTGTAAAGTGCAATCCCTGTAGTTAACCAGAGAAATACGTGGATATTTATTTCCTGGCCGACTTTGGTTTTAAATTTTTAAAAACTGAATACGTGTTAAGTACCACTTAGCCGTAAGCAAGCCCGTCGGTTCCATCTTTGGCGTGAGACGTATAAGATCATACAGGGCTTGGCTCTGTCGTCACGCCAGACATATCACCCTCTTTTGATCGTAATGGACCCTGTCAACCTCCAATCGCATCTCTCACCTGTATGGGTGATGGTAAAGGCTCCAATGTCTCCTGGTCTACAGAGACGAATGCCGTGTGACGACAAATGACATTAGCTGCTTGAGATACCTCTAGCATCTTGGTACGAACCTTCACCATTTCTTCGGCGGTAGCATCGGAGAAGTTTCGCTTGTCCCCTATATAAAGAGCAACAGCTAACTGAAATAACGCAGACGGCTGTTTCATATGTTAGATAGGATGTCCCATAACAATAAGGAGATTTTGATTTAATATCAGCTAGGAGAGATGCTCATGACAGCTGTCATTCACAATAAAAGAATATCTAAAGGCTTCAAATCCAAGAAAGTGACAAGAGGAAATGGGTGTACAAAATATCTGACCGTTTTCATGTCCTAAGCGCCTTGACAATGCGTCAAAATCTTGCAGCAAACGCTTGGCAGCTAGTTGATGTATAGTCTCCTCCCAGACGTCCTCTTCGCCGCACGGTCCAACCCATTCACCACGCACAAGGGTTGATATATCAAAAGGAACATCGCAGCTGATTGGACGACCGCAGAAGAGGCCAGATACAGTGACACTGCATTTTCCTGTTCGTGTCGCCATATCAACCTTCGATACCACAAATGAAAAGAAACGAAATGAAATAACTCTCAGAATGAGATTTAAAAAAAAGAAATCTTACCCATGAGGTAGGCTTATTTTGTTCAAATCACTAATTGCCAGTTTTAAAAGCTGTTTATTTCAAAAAGGCAAGGTCATTTGAGAACAAAGCACACGTGTGTGTCGGCACACGGCTGCGCTTATAGGACGGAGATCGTGCGCCGTTCTCGAATGACCTCGGATGCGCTTAAAGCATGCACTGTTGGGATACCCATGGCTCATCTTACCAGTTTGCCGTCGTCCAGCACCACAGCGTCGTTCAATGACATTTGAACGTCTTGATCGAAGAGCTCCTCTCCGTCACCTGACTCCATAAAATTATCCCAGGCCGGGCTGGACGGCTCGAAATCGAAACTAGTCGTGCTTCCACCCTCGGCTCTCATGACAGGTGAGAATTTACGGGATCTGGCCGAGAGTGGGTGGAGCTGTGATTCAGACTGCCGGCGTTCACTGGTTGCTTCCAGACGTGAAAGAATTGCCTGGATAGCAACCGGGTCAGCCACGCCCCCAAAACGATTATCTGGAACGGACACTGTTCGATTCCGCTTGGCAGCAAGTTCCAAATAGCGCTTTTGAGCCTAAGAGGGAAAGAACATTGATATTTGTAGCAAACTAAATGGATTGTCACATACTGTAGATAAAACAAGTATGCATGAGAGTTTGATCTGTGAACAAGTCTCCCTGAGCGGTTAAAAATAGAGAGATATTGAGGACACACCATGGCCATTGCTATGCACCCACGCTCTGCCTTTCACGTGTTCGCTTTCTTCAGAAACAAGATGCTACGTATTTAAATTTCCTCCTTCTTAATAATTTTTTAACTGACAACCGATTGTGCAGTTTTCTTTAGAATGGTAGTTTTTGGCTTACCGTTTGACCGACATTGGAGAGTTTTCGTCTGGGACTATGCTCGACTGATGCAGGCACAGCAACATCGCCGTCTTCAACCATCGGTGGCGTGGAATGGGTCAATCCGTTGGATTGACTCTTTGGGGGAAGAACTTCTTGATTCTCAGTTGAAACCTCTTCTGAAATGTTTGTTAAGGAAACTTAAAGAATAGGTTGCTTATTAAAAATACTGAATTTCTTCTTTTATAAAAGAAAAAGAATAACGCAACCTTTGAAACATTTTGATCACTGTAAAGTTTAATTCGAATGACGTCACCTCAGGATACAAAATATTATGAACCACATTTATGAAGGTTTCAAAAAAACTGTCACCTTGTTCATGACTTCCATCCTTTTTCACAGGGGATTTAGGTCTCGTCGGCGACGAGGCGTCTTCCTCTGCCTTCTCGTTGCTTGAGCCTCTGGACAGTGCTTTCTCCACAAAGGGATTCTTCCGAGCCGTCTTGAGAAGCACCGAGGCCAACGTGCTATGCATACGGACCGTATCGCATAGGAGACCGTAGACCACCAAAGGCTCTCCCTGGAAGATTGATGGATGCACGGTAGGGGACTGAAGGACTTCCACTCCGTACGGTAGTTTCCAGTCCAGACGGATATCACTAATACAAGGCTGGAGGGCGTGCTTTAACGTACTCAACACCTGATCGAAAGAAAAACACCCATTATTGTTAGTGGTTTAAAGAATAACTGTCTTTGGATTCGAAGTAATGTTATTTCTTGGTTATAAAAATCAAAAATTTCCGAAAAGCAGTCTTCATTGATACGTGTGACGACATAATATGCGTGTGCAATGTTTTAAATTCCAACTTGTAAAATTCAGAGTGCAGTCAAAGCGGAATGTGCACATCCATTTTTACGGAAGTTCAAAATTTGAAATAAACACAAATGTTTCATGCCATCTCTGGAAATTTTACAATGGTGATGCATTGGGCTACAGCTAAAAAGCATGTGACATTTAACTTCCTGTAAGGATATTTTCATCTTTTAATCAACTGAAAAATTCAATTTCCAGACAGGATAATTGAAAATTTAAAAAATGTTTGCCTGGGGTTTATCCTTTATATATTTTGTTTAGACATTGTTTGAGATTTGTCGGGACTGTATAGTTTGAACACAAAAATGAATCCTCATTTCAGCATCCGTATAAAAAAAATTATTTTTCCAGACTGAAAGCTTCGATGGAAGGCCACTGAAGAGAGAAGGAATCTATTTTGAAATTAAACTCAAACAACGCAGACGCAAAATCACACACGTCAGTGGGTTCATTCCTGGTAACTTTTTTTTTCAGTCCGATTTTTCCCTGAAAATTCCGAGGCCTCGGAAAATCGGAGCCTTAACAGATCAGTTGCTATCGTCTCTGCTTGCATGGAAGGTTCGGGTGAGCAATAGCCTTTGGCGACCTTTTGAATGTCAAAACCAAACCTCTCCTTGTGGCCAGCGAACCCACAGAAGACAACTTCGGCCAAACATTCTGCGTCTCAACAAGATGTTGCCAAAGCGATGCTTAAAAAATAACTTCAGTTTAAATTACAAATAAAAATCAAACAAAAAGAAAATATATATTAAATTTGATCACACTTCATGCATAGCACTTCATCCCCAAACCAAACCACATATAAAAGGATTCTTTTTTATAATACATAAAGCAACTGAAGTAGAATCCTGCAGGAAACTCCTGTCTGGAAACTAAGTGCAATGTTCTAAGATGATTCAAATCGGTTTAGTGACAAAAGCAACTCTTGAAAGTGCCTGACTGAAAGAAAGCTTTGAAAAATGCTCCCCAGGTAAGCGCCGGATTTGGGTTAGAATAATCCTTCGCCAATTTTACAAGAAATGGCCCATCCGTCTGTGAATTATTTATCGATGCTTTGGGCCTCCCTGTATTGATACCGATGTGTCTTACACGCAGCTGTAATGGGATATAAAACGGCCGTCTTCCATGTAATAAGATGCTACGTATTCCCTGTAGACCGTTGTCTGGCTATTGCAATGCATAGGAGATGAAACGCTTTAGCTCTGGGTGATTAGCAAGACGTCCTGAACCGATGCCAACCCTGGATGAGGTCGAAATCGCCGTGATCTTAAAAACACTATTCCAAGCATCTCATTTGAATAACCGACCGATTTTGAATCGGTGGCAATGTGGCTGAGATCCGCTCGCTATTAAAAGTGGAAATCAAAAGTAAACAAGCTGGGTGAGGACGGGGAACTCAGATCTTATTTGACTAGGAACTCCAATAGCTTAGAGTTTAAGTTATGTTACATTCTAAAATCAACCCCAAAAGACAGCAAATAAAGTATTTGGGAAACACCTTAGTGGGTCAGCTATCTCCATCGAACAGGCCCAATTTATTGTCATATAGGTAAAATGACAGCCCGTGAACACTGACAGTTATAGCATATATGAGGAAGTAAAATTCTATTTTAACAGGCCTTATCCTATCCGAAATATACAGTACGCTGTGCTCAAACTAGATATTAATTTCTACCTGTGCAGCTCGTTGTTCTAGCAAAGGTCACGATGAAGGGAAAATTTCCAATTTTGTGTCTATCGCAACTTTTTCCCTCCTATCGACCTACACAACATGATTGCAACATTTGACGCGTACGACTACTGCCACTCTACACCTCAGAGACAATAAATCCACGGCCTAAGCGATCTGCACTCTAAGAGCACCGACGTACGAGTCAACAATATCATTTTTTTATACTACCTCGTTCTATGTCCTTGGGGTCCTCGCAAAAATGATCTAGACTCCGGTAAAGATACGCCGAGAACGAAACTGCCTCAGTTCAGTGCATCTTGATGGGGGTGGTTAATGGAGAAACGGGCTCCCTCAGAGACATAGATGTCTCCATGAGAACAGCTGAAAGTGATTGGGACGACCCGATACCTGGGCTGGTATGACGGTCTGAAAGACAGGTTCTCCCTCGAGCTACAAGGGTTGGTATTATGACCACTTGTTTGCATCCATTATGGCTTAAAGTGTTCGACAAGTCTCATTCAAGCATAGCATGTTCTTATATTTGATCCTGACTCAGTAATCCCACAGGTAACACTGCCTGTTCGAAGCAAAATGAACTTTAGCATTCTACTTGGCTTGAAAAATACTTGTAACAATAAACAGCTAAAATTTGTGTCAGTGCTTTTCCTGTAAAGTAGTGGTTTAAGCTTCGCACACAAGCTGTTACTAAAGAGACAACGCTGATATTACAGACAATTAACCGCACAAATTGACTTCTTTAAACCAGTCGGTCGTTTGCAAATAATCTCCCAAGTGTGATTTCAAATGAAGAGTCATATTTTAAAGGGGAGTGAAAATATTAAGCATGACTTGAAAAACAGGATTCAAATTCTAGAAGCGAAGTGTGTAGTAAATTTTAATTTCTTGAATGAGTCAGTCGTATTTGAAGTTCTTTCTCCAAAGGATTTGATGATAAAGGGTTTGAGCGTGTAAAATACAGACTCTTTCATACAGACTAAATTAAATACAATGATTGCGTCAGAAACCTTTATTACAAAAAGGTCAGGAATTTCGTGATTAGCAAAAGGCGAAATATCACAATAATGGTAGTCTAATGATACACCAAACATATCTCTACTTTAAAGAGTATTCTTGACATTTAGAAAGAACCCTTGAGAATATTTTCTGGGCCTTACTTTCCCAGAAATCGTGAGTCCTGTGGTCCATTCGAACATCAATAAGGCTCTTGACAACCACCATGGTCTCTATATATAGGCCTTTACGTCTGAGACGGGTCGCTGAAACACTTCCCCCTTATCGCTGAAGAGTATTATTTCAACCGTTTCAGTCGACGACAATATAGCTTACACAAATGATCTGACGTCATGGTAGCTAGACGTGAGAGTGCGTCTATATGCCAAGGTCGTAGTTGTGTAAATTCAATTGATTCTTATTATTTTATTCACAAACTAACCCAGCAATAGTTTTGAGTTACATGACGCAAATCGCGCAAGATGGAAATCTATAGTAACAATGCATACGTGTCGTCGCCCACACTACGGCAATATTCTGATGTTGAACTCGGTGGTCAATCCAAACGAACGACTGAAAATGCTCTTTATAATAAAAATAAACCCATCAAATTAAAACATGCCAGTTAAGACTCATTTTGTTAGATCGGGTTACGTTCCTCTATTTCTGTATTGTATGTAGGCATGTTTATGTGAGGGTCCGCATGTACAAACGAAGTATAACGCTGAGTGTCACTTTTACCAAGCTGCTTTGATTATCATTGTAAAAGTCTTGCTCCTACTCTATCGGCCTTTTCTAGTACACGTATTTTATTATAAAATAGGCCAGTAAATTTTGGCATAATTATACTGACAATACAGCGCAGCATGACAACAGTCACCATATCTCAGTCGTTTCCTTTCAGACTTGATTGAATCTTATATTCCTACATAGAGAAACATCAAACGATCTATACTAAACGGGTTAGAGAAAGTGGGACTTGCGATTCCGCGATACTAAATTCTATTTTGACATTATCGGGTGCAAATAAAAGAAAAACTTTTTCGTCGAAGTGGTTCTTCGATAGTGGCAAGACCACCACCATATGTGGAGGTCACTATTTTTATCAGTAGTCTTGTAATGCAACGCTATGGCTAAAGATGCACGGTCGCTCTCCAGGTAACAAGTGAACAACGTGTAGCCTATCTACCACGGTCGTCACCTTTCAAATAATCACAATGACTTCACTGACTATACTTCAAATAATTATTACGATTTTTGGCCTTTCCATACCCACCTTCATATGTAAAACTAACACCCAGAAGGCGTTTGCACTTGCGTAGACGTGATCCTACGTACCGGTACTTACCTTGCTTTGCATGCGGTCTTTGATGGCTATGAATTCAGCACGCCCTCTACCGGCCCGTGCCATGCCCTTCACTAGTCGTTTGGAGACGTTCTCACCAACACCAAATGTATGAACTCTGTAGAAATTGGATTCAGTGAACAAGAACCACAAAGGCATAATTCAAGGCGAAGCAATGACTCTTAAACCTCCTTATCAGGAGACTAAATATACTTCGGGAAGTCAGCCAACAAAGGCAACGTATCGAGCCAATTATCGCGCTGTCTGTCTGAGACGGGTATCTCTTACGATCTTAAATTACAGTGAATCAATCTTCTCCGATTGCCAATTGAGTGCAAACAGACAGCAACAAACTACCTAAACTGATCACATTTCCCTCAAGAATTTCTTTTCACACCACATACATACAGTGTCTCCTCATTTGCAGTTCCAAAAACCACCAGACGATTTTCTAAAAAGGATCATCCCCGGTAGAGGTCAGTCATTTCGTCATTCTGACCGATGAGAATGTGCTGATGGAACTTTGTTGAGATTGGGAAATTCCATTTTTTAAAGGTTTTGGATAAAGGTCAAATTGAATATTGGTGATACTAAAGTGAATCATGACTACTGTAACTTTAATATTAAATAAATTTTGGATATAACTTGGTGTAAATATATCCTGTCTTACCTTGTGTGCCTAGAATGACTCCGGACTAGATCTAGTATATCTCCAGTATTGTTGACTCCGCCATCTGTAAGGACGAATAACTGTCTTGGCCATCCTCTGGTAACAGGTTGGTGATAGATCCACAAGAGTGGAGCTAAAAGACTAGTTCCACCCATATCGGCTCTCATTTTGGTGATGTTGGAACTGGCTTCTCGTACGTTGGACTGCGTGTAGGCTCGGCTACACTCAAACAGCGGTTTGAATGACGAACCGAACCCGATGATGTTGAAATGGCAGCATGTTGGTAGACTCTTTAAAAACATCATAAGTGTTTCCCGGGCGTTGGCGATATATTCGCCACTCATGCTGCCACTACGGTCAATCATGAAGATATATTCGCCTTGGATATCGAAGCGATAGGGCAACATCTGACGGGCCAGGACGTCAAAATCGGGGCAATAGTTCAGCATCGAGACGGCATTATGCATTATATCCTTATGCATTCGATTCAATAATTCTCGTCTTTGATCGCTTTCTGTACTCTCCCCAGTTCTGAAATATTCCTGCTCCACTTTGACGAAATTCTCGTACTCAGCCGGGCTCATGTCGCCGTGTTCGAGGATGACGATGGGCAGGTGGGGCTTAGGTGGGTGAAGAATGACCTCAAGGTCACGGTCCATTGAATGGGGCTCAGCTAAAGTCACAAACACATCTGAAGCGTTCTCGGCGTAAGGATCGGCATCTACTCGGATGGCGTGAGTAGACGAAGATACACCTGCAAGAAGGGTGGGTGCTTTCACCTCTAACTGAAACTCAAAGTCATACTCCTTGGATGTGTCACTGACCTCCTCAGCAATATCGATCAAGGATCTAAGGATAAACTGATGGTGTGATGCAGCAGCTAGGCTTGGCTTGGCTTTAGGGCGCGAGGAATGGGCACTGCTCTTTCCTTCTGAAGGCACAGGCTCACGGACAAACCGAGGGGTGAAAATATTTGGCAGTTTCATCAACACTTCTCCCGATTGACCAGTTTGAAGTAGAGATGAAATGCACATGAGTATGGTGACCGTCCCGTGGGGTCGAATGGTACCGAGATTGGCACAAAATACACGGGTACTATCATACTCAGTCAAGGCAAACTTTCCAGGTGGGATATAGGTGTGATGGCTGCTGTTACGAGACGCAGCAGGCGAACCAGTTAAGATTTCGTCGTAATGTTCAACTTCGCATCGATCCTTCACGTGCACGCTGATGTTCCGTCCCTGAGACATACGCGCTTCAAATCCCGTCACTGACGTATTCTCGTCCAGAGCAAGACAGAAGACGCCCTCAACGACGTGATCCTCATCGTTGAAGTAAGTCAAGGATGAAGTGAGACCAAGCGACAAACCGTTGAGGCACGTCGACACCCGCGTCGCCTGTAAAGCCAGGGGCGACCGGGTATGTCTGTCAATTAGTCCGGGCATCTTTGTAGTTGGCTAAATTGCTCCGGAAACACGTACAACGGCTGTACGGGAATGTCCTGAGGAAAAACAATTTGCCCACCTACTCATTAAAACTCTCACTGAAAACCGCTCAAAGACCGAGAGGGGAACGTTGGAGTTTTCCCTGTGAGGCCAGAATTTCGATAATCTGTAGGGATAGTTTGTCCAAGCGTGAAAATCAGCAACGCATCTCTAGTAAGAGTGTGATGTTCAACTGCATAACCTCAGATCACATGCATCTTAAACTGTCTGTCATGACAGTCTGCATGCCTGGACAAGTGTAGACACGCTCTGCAACGCTTTCCTGGCCAAAGTGTGCCAACTCATGACGTCATCAAGGGCTCTGAACATCCTCCTATATACATTATACAGTACTTCATGCAGGGTTGTTGATAACGTCATCATGACGTCAACCTCCGAACCCCTCAAGCGTTTTAATTGCCTTAATCCATGTTCATGTACAAAAATGCAACAGTTGGGTGGCATAAGGGTGTAATTTAGTTCGAATGATTACACAAGAAAAGAAACGTTGCTTGTTAGAATCAGTTCGGCGTGGGCGGCGAGGCTGTAAGTAGTTAAGTCGTACTGGAAAAAATGAAGAATTGGTCAATCCTCAATTTAACGTTCCTGAAGACCGCCTGGCGGAGTTTATGGTCAGTTTTTCTTCCACAAACTTACAAGATTGGTCAAAAATCTGTAGGACAAATTTGAAGAATGTTTGGTCGATGAAATTAACTGTACGGTCCATGACTTGGCAACGGTATTGTCCCTTTTATTACCGGGTATTGCATCATTTGATTGGCAGTCAGATGTATTTACCTCACGTGATAACACAATCGTTAATAATGATCAACTGTTAACGTTTTCATTCTTAGATTTCAAGAATAAATTAGCTTTCACAATCACAAAAATAATAACAACTTCAGTGAACATTTTTTCACAGGTAATAACTTCAATCAATTTTGTCCAACAAATTGATAACTTTTCTCCTGCACACCCGAATCCAAACAGTGCTGTGGTGAGATCTTGTTTAAAAACGGAATTTAAATGAAAGAACAGAAAAAAACTCACTGTATTATGCAGCTTGTCCTTTCCCTGGACCCAGATAAATACAGTTTCTTAGCAGACACGTTGTTATCCACTTGAAATGTCCCAGGGGTACTTCTTCCTTGCTGTGCTAGCGCTCAGGAAAGGCGAATAGAAAATGACTGGACGTGTCTCGATCTGAAAACATAAGGTAAAAAGATAACAACTTTGTTGTCAAGAGAACACGCTTGCCGACTACTGTTGAATACCCTTTCGCTATTATTAGAGAAATCTGATATCATAATGCAGACGTACTCCCACTAGACAGACATATATAGAGATAATGGATGAAAACGGGAGCAAAATCCAAATTTTTGAATTTGAGGAAAATGTACCAACAAAGCAATGACCAGCGTATGAAAAATCCAACTCACAGTGGAGCATAATATGCCTATCAGAAAGATTAACAGATTCCACACTCCCTGAAAGAAAAAAAAAAACCTTAACCATCCCTTTTTTCAAACGTATCATGTTTCAAAAGAGGGACTTCTGTGTAATCTAACACATACATGGTTTTACTTGAGTAAATATTTAATTATATGATTATATTCTTAATTATGTAATTAGTTATGCGTTCCACTTGACTGACCTGGCGTAAACGTACTGTAGAATGACCTATCGTGACCTATCGAAAGAACAACGCTATACGGCGCACACTTTGTCTACTTTTAGATGGGTACAAGTCCGCTAAACCCTACCCAAATCATATAAGGTTTATGGGTTAGAATAAATTAAAATACTTTTTACAGCTTCAAAATTTAGTGATTATTTTTTAAAGTTCTTTCTAAAAATTCCTATTTCCTGTAATACAACCCAGAAGAATAACATTTTATGGTGAATTCTCATTGAATAGACTGACTCAGCCAATTACCTCCAACAAACCAGGAGTGACATGAGTAACTGGTGAACATTTCAAGATTGGGAAAAGACTTGAACATCTGAAAAAAAGTTGCTGGAGATAATTACTTGTTTGATGAATTCTGTGTACAGACCATATAAGACGGTGCACTTTATCGAGATGTGCTGGATCAGAAATAACCTGTCTTTTCAGCAGCCAGTTTCAGGACCAACCAATCAATGAAAGGAATAAATTGACCAAAAATCCTTTTATTTGTCAGAAGCTTTTTCAAAAAGAGTAATCCTTCAAGGAATTACTAAACTTCAAAACTACTGAGAATATACTTCCAACACCTTGATAAAATGACTCGGCGACAGAACAACCACTTCAGTAACCTACTTCAATCAATCATTAATTCATCTGACCTCCTTGAATGAAGCTAGGATGATTACCACAACCAGACAGTGGGCTAAATATAGACCCGGCAGGTGTTCCATTATGCATCATTTTCAATTCTGTCAAATCTCAATGGCGGTCCCGTCATATGTTTGTCCCACAATCGCGGGAAAATAAACGCAGAATCTCAAATATTTCTCACCTTTGGCTTCAGTATGAAAGCATCATTTCCCTTGCGACATTGCTGCTTTTGTCTCCAACACTGTTAAATGCCTCGGTCATAAAGTACATTTAAGCGGAGGGCGTTGTTATGCCGCATCCTTGCTTGCTCATTGTAGTCGTCAAGGTTGTTAGAGCTTGTGGGCGATGTGTTCCTTATTACATGTATTGGGTACAATGCGCGTGCGAAAATGGCTGCTCTGTGTGGGTCTTTTCACCACACTGGTGCAACGGAAATAAGTCAACAAACATCGTCCAGTGCGGCGAGTGCCGAAAAAACAGAGCGAACTCATTTCTTGGGGAAGCATAGGCTGATTAGTCATTCATGACAGACAGTGTTTATGCACTGACGCCTTTGCTCAGTCTGTTTGGAGTGGCATTTGCCTTCGTCTGAAATGACAACATGTATGCAACGAGCAACATTTATTCGTGATTCGAGACTTCATCTGCTATTACTCCATTTACAATGTGTGGCATTAACGCGGGTGCGTGAACAAATTTAGAAACAGCCTTTACGTTTGAACAGACTTAATTCTTGTTAAAAGACGAAAGAGGTGAGATCTATGCGCTTCAGTGCTCGCAAATCTCTTCAGCACCGGGATGCACTAAGTTGGAAAGTCGTGGGTCAAGTGCACTGTTGTCAGGCATTAAATGTTGAAGTTTGATCCAAATTGCATTCGTAAAATCGTCAGCGCGTGTGTAATAAGTGATTTCAAGAAGAGGAGAAGTTTGTGAACCTGTGGCAGCAAACCATGTACCCATTCCAATGGACCTTAGGGAAAGGAGCAAGCCATTTTTTTTATCTTGTTCATCGAATTTGTTGTACAAATTATTCACAGTTAAATGGCATGGTATTTGACTATTTTAGAATTCATGTGATTTCCGAGCCTCCCTTTAATTTTTTTCTACAGGTATATCTAGCGTAAATACTAAAAGTATCTTTTATCACAAATTTGAAATTATTCATCCGAGCAGACTGGTACTGATTTGACGGGAAATATCAGCTATTCTTTTATTACTACTTTCAAGTCCCAGAAATGAAGAGTGAACCTCAGTATCAATTTCAATATCGCCGACCCATGAATATAAATTTCATTGGGATACCAGTCACGTGAATAAAATAAGAATGAAAGCTGATGTTGGCGCATGTGAACGGATGGCTGAAGCCGATAACATAATTCATATACGGGTGTATATCGCATAAGTAAGGATGTTCGTTCGCACTTCAGTGAACATTTGATTTCATCTGTTATTGGATCAAACATTTTTGGTCTCAATAAAGTTAAGTTACCTTTAATGCTTAGTTGTTCTGTATCGGTGAAGAAAAACCACAAATATAAAAAATTACGACATCTGAAAAGATATATGGAAGGGAGTAATAATGTTTATACTCTTAACATTTCAAGTAAACTTGTCTGAAACTGCATTTCCAAAACACCAACGTCAATGGTTTTCGGCCAAGACTTTCCATAGTAGTACCAAGTGAACAACTAACTCCGACTCCTCATGACTTCCTCATGGCCAAATAATTGATGAAATATCGAAAAAATATCTCAAGGTCTCACAAAATTACAGAATATTCAAAATGCTTGCCCAAAGCATGTCAACTCATGACGGATTTACGTACCGGTACATTTTCTTACCTCTAGCCTAGTGTCTCTTTGATACGCCTATGAGATGTTCGAGTCCTTCATTAAGGTAACATCTTCAGCTTCAGTACACTCTGCTCAAATGATGCACCTTGCTTCCTCATCTTCGTATTCAGCTCTCAAGTCAAGCCGGCAGTCTGCATCTATGAGACACCACTCACGCAATGACGTCATCCACGGAACGGTGGACTTTACCGACGCGTCGATGTGTATGTGGTTTGTGATCGCTCTGATAGTCTGGCTGAAATGTCAGGGGCCATTAAGGGGGGCAGGGGCAAGACCAGTCACTGTAAAAAAAAAAGACATCAGTGAGAGTGATTACACACGAACGAAGCCGGCAATGTACAAACAGGTGTGTCTTATAAGTGCCTACTTAAAGATGCAGCGTCTTGCACACAAACCACTGCCTTGTTTACGGAGACATCGTGTGTACTTAAGGTTTATTAATGTTTAATCGATGACTTTCACAAAGCACACTGTGAGTTGATTAAAGATAAAGGGTCAAGTAGGAACCACTTGCTCACAGTTCTGAAAAATTAACCGAAACGTCTGCAGAATATTAAGTATAAATGTGCCGCTATTTCAAGCAAAGCGTTAATAACACAAAAATATTGGTTTTTAGAAAATTTATGATAAAATGATAAAACGAACCTTTACTTTTAATAAATAAAAATGAACAAAGTGGATGTTGTATTACCATGCCAGGGATTTAGTCTGTTTCCCATTATCGTACTATGAAACATTTCAATTATCACCACAAGCAAAAGCATGTCATCAACACTGATCTAAAAGCTGGCTCAATGGTTGTTTATAACAAACCTGCGACGACTGTTCAAGTTCAGTGTAATCATATGTGAACCTTACAGGTTGTCAACGGCTATTGCAGTTGGTCCCAGGAGGTAACACAATTTCCTGCGCAGTCGATTCCGAGAATCGATACCGAAATGCGATATTAATAAATGCCCTACAGTTTCTTCCACCATATGCAAATGACCAAACCTACCTCATGCTCAAGGAGAATATAATACTCGATTTGTCACAATCATAGCACAGGATCACGGCCATTGGCCAATCACGCCGCGCCCCTTGCCCTTGACATTTAAGCATCGATGTACATGTAATTAATGTAGGACAAACCGAACACGATGTGACGCTCGCGTACGAACAAGCGGGTTTCACACGAACATCGCAGCGATCAACAGTGTGTACTTATGAATGAGTAAAAACATCTTGTCAAGATGATTATCACGAAAACAAAAAATGTAGCTGGGTCAAAACATCAATAAAACTGGGAGTTGGTTTAAAGATGATGAAAATGAATAACATATCGGAAAGTAGTGAAAGTACTGATGTAATAGACGAAAAAAGGAAATAATTATTTTTGAATAGAGAAGTTGTTGTCAATTAGTTAACATGGACGAATTTAAAAAATGGTGTTGAATTTACGGTGTAATATAACCCAGCACTGACACTCTAGCAATGACCAGAAACCCTGCTCTAAATTATTCATAACGAGTCTGAATTTTCACAAAAATACAACGTTCGGAAAAGGTCAGCCTTGTCATTGAGGTAGGCAGGACTTGTCCCGACTGTTATCGAGCCAATTATAGAACTTTCGAAACACTTGAACGGCTTTTAATGTAGGAACAAAAAAAGAGAAACGACAAATGCTCATAAACGACCATGAGAAATAAAATGGAAGGATGGGTGTAAGATCTTCTCCATAATTCAACTGTATGATTACAACGCTATATTAAAGTGCAGTGTGCCGGTCTCCTTTTGGAATTCGTAGTTCTCAATCAATAAAATGGAAGCATATATAAAAAGAATTGCGTCCACCCCAACTGCCGAGTTATTTTGGGTGTGTATAGCTTCCACGACTTGCGAAGGTTTAACCTCGTCCCCACCGCCTCGCTCGTTTGGCACAGCTTGCCTGAGCAAGCTAACCGAGTGCACCATGTTGCTGGAATTAAATGGGCAACATGCACAGTCGTCCACTTATATGTGAAAATCCAACAGAGGTGAGAGTTAAACTGAAATGATATACATCACTGGAGTAACGACCAGTGCTTTGCATGGTCTTATTAAATGACTAATCTCTGCAACCTCTAATGGCTAAAACTGTCATAATTTATCACATCAATGGTGTTTTCTTTACTAATCACAACGCTCCTATTTCTTGTGATATATAGCCAATGAATCAGTGCAAAACCCATATACCCCCTTTCAGATAAAATCCTTCAAAGTAGATGTTGATTGCCATAGTAACGGGATGTGTTCCCATCGACCTTTCGTCATTTGCTTTCCCGCCGTCCGTTTCCGTGCAGGCGTTTCTTCCGTTAATTCCGCTCAATGTGCAAGCGCAGGAGATACCATAAGACAGACGTTTTGGCCGCGGTAATTCAGTATTTTCACCCGTTCTCTCATAAATTAAAGTCTTTCCCTAAACTAAATCTATTTCAACGCATCCTCCAAATCATATTATTTGCTGTTTATCATTGTGTCGACACAAATCGTTTCAACTTCACAACCGAGTTTAGTGTTGAATTTGAATCCCTGAGATTTGAAGCTTCATTAAAACGTCAATCGTAAACCTTTAACAGGAGTGCGCTCAAATAACAAAGCAACTCGGTTGAATTTGTTTAGCAAATTACATCTCGTCTCGCTCGGTGAA